CCAGCGCCAGCCGCCCGCCCGCCGCCCACCGCGCCTCCCACACCCGCGCGCCCGTATTGATTTGGTGCAGTGGGAGCAAGATTGAGCGATGAGGACGCAGCACAGGGCTTCACAGGGATCAAAAATTCATTCCAGGAATATCCCTATTAAACCCCTGAGAAGAGCCAGGGATTTTCTCAGCGCTTTGATCCCACTTGATGATTTTTTTTTTGGCCCTGACGCCCTCGTCTCTGCCATGTCTCTCCGCAGGTCCCTTTCTTCGGGAAGCGCCAGCACCACACCTGCCCGTGTTTGCCCAACTTCAGCTGCTCCAGGTTCCTCCACGGCCGCTACCGCTGCTCCGTCGACTTCAAGAACATTGATTTTTAGCGTGCTGCTCCCGGCTTTCCACCTGTGAGCCCCCAGTGCCCGTTTCTTGCCCTCTCCCATGGGCATCGGGTGCCTGCATAGGGCCAGGTGACTTCAAAAGTGCTTTTCCAAGGCAGGCAGTGTTGCTCTCAGCTCGATGTTACGTGCTCTGTGCCTCCCGCGGTTTGTATCCATCAAATCTGGGCTGTGAAGCTGAGCAGCGTCATTTCAGCTGCCAGAGCGTTTGCAGGGCCGAGCCCAGTGGCGAAGGGGGCTGCAGAGACCTGGCTTCAATTATTTTCACACTTTTCGGTCATGGACAAGGAAAGACAAAAATCAGAGGGGCAGAAACTTCCTTTTGTGGGGAGTTTTAGCAGTTTCCCTGCAATTCCAACAGAATAAACCAGTTCTGTAACGATAATTTCCATCGTGATAACGCCCAGTTGTGTCTCATCAGCCTGTTTTTTCTCCAGGCTGGTGACGGATGATCTGATTGAGCAGGCAATTAAAAGAAATCGGTATCAAGCAGCTGTGCGGAGTGAAGGAATGGTTTTCCACAAAGTTTGAGCAGCGCAGTGTGCTTGGCAGAGGCTGACGCGGGGCTGGCTGGAGCCGCGTTGTGCCAGACGTGGGTCTTTGGGACGCAGGAAAATGTTTTCCAGCCTCAGCATCTGCCTGGGGTTCTGGCACCAGGTGAGGTTTGGGAGCCTCTCCTTATGTCAGTTGAATTTGAGTGGAGAATGGGATATTAAAGAGAATTAAATGTGCTAAAAGGTCTCTCAGACACGTGCTTTCAGTTCCCCTCTTAGTGGAAAAATCGCGTGTCACTTGAGCTTCCCTCCTGCGTCCTACGGCAACCCCCAGCAGTAATTAACAAAGAGAAATAAAGGAAAGAAATTAAAAGAAGAATAATCAGCATTTACAGCAAAACACCCGATCCTGGTTGCTTTCCTTTCAAGCAGAAGCAGTGCTCGAAGGCAAAGCTTGCTTTGGGGGTTTGAACGCGTGTGCTCAGGGCTGCTCCCTCCCAACCCCAATGCTGTGGGCTCTCCCTTTTTGGTGGGGTTTGGTGGATTTTGGTGAGTTTTGATGGATTTTGGTGGGTTTTTGGTGGATTTTGGTGCTAGAGCAGCAACTGTTTCTATTCCTAAAGACCCCAAAGGCCAGCAGACGTACGGCCGTGGCAGACGCTGTGCGATCATGGAGAGTGAAGCCATTCAGATTTGGCATTTGATGCTGAGTGAAAGCTTCCCACACATGTGTGTTTCTCCCCCCCCCAATTATTGTAAATCTGGTGAAAATAAAGCGTTGCAATGACTGGGTTGATTTTATTTAGGTTTTTTTTACACATCAGAATTTTCACATTGTTTTTCCAAGAGAAGAATCTTGCAGTGGGGATGCTGCATCTGCCCAGGAAGGTGAGTCTGTGAGACCCGGTGGCACTGGGGACCACGGCAGAAGGGCCCAGAATGGGGTCCCATAGCAATACAGAGGGCGGGAAAAAGTCAGGGAAAAAGCACAATATTTCATAACAGTGTTAAAAAATATGCATTTTCATGGTTTGGGTTTCTTTTATTAAACTGCCTTAAGTTATTTGCTGCTTCTGCCCTTCCCACAGCTTGGGAATGTGCAGGAAGGGCTGGTATTCTGGGTTTTTTTTAGTTAATTGTTGGACATCTCCCAGTGGGAAATCTTGCAAATTATTTTCTCCCACAGAAAGAACAACAACAAAAAAGACGTAAAACAATCAAACAACTTCTTGCCGTCTGCAGTTCCCGTTTCGGGGCGACTGGCCGGGCCCCGGGGCAGCACTGCCTGGTGGGAATTACCCATCTCCCGGTGGCTTTGAACGGCAGGGGGTGGGAATTTGGTGGGAAATCACTCGATTTCGGCATCATTTTATAGAGGGACACCTCCATTGCAAGAGCCAGTGCTTCTTTTTGGTTTAAAATTGCAAGTGGCAGAAGTCATGGGTAGCCCAGGGTAGGGGCGTGTGGGTCCCTGTCCGTGCTCCCCTCTCCCACGCTCTCGCCAGGGCCGGGTCCCTGCGTGGTTTTACCTGCAGTGTAGCAGAAAAAACACTTTTAAGCTGCTTTCAAAGTGCATTCAGGGGAGTGAAACCTAGCAAATCTCATCGGTTTTGGTTTTTCTTTTTTTCCCTAGAGGTGGCAATCCCCGTGCAGGGGGAAAAACACAAGGAGCGAAGCCAAAGCTCACGTCCTGCCGCGGGGCCGGGGGGGAAAAGTCAACACAACCTCGTCATCGGGAGCACCGGGGGCTGTTTGCGTCCCGTGAGCTGCTTTGCCCCCGTGCCGAGTGCCCCTCTCGTCCTCCCGCACGTGCGTTTCCCCCCTGGCTGTTTAATGTCCTGGCTCCAAGCTGAACCGTGCCCGGCTGCAGAAGCCTGCATGGGATGGGACCCAACTGGGACATGGCTGGGGCCCAACTGGGACGTGACTGGGACAAGGCCGGGGTGTCACAAACCCAGTGCCGCTTGCCGGTGGTGCTCCTGGGTCTGAATATTCAACACCTCGAATAATTGCGTGTGTGTTCACCCCCGGCACAGACCCCACCCCTCACTTCTGTCTGCAGCAGCCTGCGGTGCCCCCCGGCTTGGAGAGGGACAGCAGCCCTTGAGAAGCTGCTTAGCTAAGGGCAGGGTTGAGACTGGCCTTCGTGAGCTTTGTACATTCATATTATTTTTTAATATATTTATTATTTTTTTGGCTAAGAGAGAGGTTTCTGGTCCCAAAGTGTTTCTGTGCTTTGTCCTGAAGGCTTTGGACTCACCAAGACAGAACGGTGCTGTGCCTCGTTGCCTTTTTGACCACCCCAGCCCCTTCCCGCTCCTGTACAGATCAATGGGACAATTTCAGCTGGCTCCCAGCCCTGTGCTGAAAGAAACCATTATTAACTCCTGCTTTATTCCACTGCAAGAGCCGGCCCCATCGCAGCAACCCACCTTCCCCCCGCAGTGGAGGGGACCGTCCCTGCGGTGCGGGGATGGAGCGGCTCTGCCCGCAGCAGCCGCTCTAAACCGCTCCGACAGGAAATTCAGACAATAAACACAGAAAAAAGGGTCCGTGGGCTTTCCATGCTGTCATCCGAGCACCCAAATCTCCAGCTGTGACACCAGCATCTGCCCCCAAGTTTTGGGGGTCTGGGGGCAGGGGGTGTAGTGGCTTGGGACACTCTGCTCAAATAAAAGCAGCACGGAGCAGACTCAGGACCCTCACCCCATGCCTCAGCATCGCCCCGTGTCCTTCGCCCACCGCGGCCCTCGCACGCTCCTCTCTGCGAGCTGCGAAAGGCGAGCTGATGCCTGGAGCCATTATCGCTGCGGGCGATACGGAGGCACTCGTTAGGAGTTTTAATTCTGTTTTAATTGTCCCCGTATTGCTGGGCAAACCACGCTGAGAGGGGTCAGCGTGCTGCGGGGGTCACCTTTCCCGCAGCCTGTTTGCATCCCACTGTACTAATTGGTTTTTGCAGATAATTGCAGGCACCGGAGGGTCAGTACGTGCGTATACCCCACGTGCCCACCTCCCTGGGGTGTACACGCACATCGGCACCCAACGGGGCCCCTTCCCGGCCCGGCTGGGGAGAAACACCCATAAATGGGTGGGAGGGGTCCCACTGCTACTTGCAATGGACACCAAAGCGAAAAGCCGAAGCGATGCCCGCAAACAGGCAGCGCTTGGTCATGATGATGGAATTGGGGTGCTAAAGGGTGGAGGGTTTGGAGAGGGGGGGAGCATTGGGTCCGGGGTAGGGTATCATGCTCAGCACGGTGGGGTCATCGCCCCACCTTGCCAGGTGACATCTCGCTGTTAGCCGATGTTTGCCGTGTCCTTCGGTCCCTAGGTGCCACCTGCTTGGCCGGGTGCCCGCTGGGGGGACATGGCACGGCGACGGTCCCGGCCGCTCTTGGCACCGCAGAGGGGGTGAGCAGGGGCTGTATAAACCACCGGGCGTTTGCCCTGGCAGCCCCGGCACGATGCGGTTCCTCGTGCTTCTCTGCGCTGCCTCTGCCCTCTCCCAGGGTGTCACCATGTCGGTCACGGCAGCGTCACTCTCGCGGGCCACCCGAGTCAGGGTGAAGGAAGGGGGGGGATGAGCACTCAGAGCCTTTGAATAGCTTTGAGAAGCGGAGGTGAGGGCTGGGAAAGCTGCTGCAGGGGTGTGGAGACGGTGCTGGTGCCTGATGGAGGGGCTGGTTTCTAGAGGTGCTTTGGGGTTTCCCAGAAATCCCCCTGACTCGGTTTTGGGGGAGTCCGCTGTGCTTCTGCTGTGGGATCAGCACCAATATTGAAGGGGTCAAATGCTGCAAAATCATGTCTAACTTATTTTTTCCTTGGTGCTTGTGCCAGGCTGCCCCTGGAAAGGGGGAAGAAGGTGAGAGAGGTCCTCAGGGAGAAGGGTTTGTTGCACCGCTTCTTCCAACGTCACCGCTACGACATCGGCACCGAATTCCCTCATGCTTTTCCCAACACCCGTCCCTGTGTCTGTGCTGAGCATGGACCAAACCTGGATCCTTTTACCCCAAAGCGTTCACAGCTCACATCCATCACCCCTTCCTGCCCATGATGGTGGCCCTCGACATAGCCAGGACACTGGCATGTCCCCCCCCAGCAGCTCTGCTAGAAGGAGACCATGAAGGTTGTGAGCCCGGGGAAGCTCCAGGTTTGGTTTCCTGCCTTAAAGGCAACCCTTGGTCCTGCTGCCCCACAGATGGAGTACTATGGGACCATCTCCATTGGCACCCCACCACAGGACTTCACCGTGGTCTTCGACACCGGCTCCTCCAACCTCTGGGTTCCCTCTGTCTCCTGCACCAGCCTGGCTTGCCATAAGTAGGGGCAGGCAGGGCTCCCTGTTTCGGCAGAGCTGGGTCCAGCAGCATGTCCTGGGCTCATAACTGCACGACTGAGCCCAAAGATTGGGGTGGCATTGCCAGGGACTGGGGACCACCTAGCCAGTGCAACGAGCTGACCCTGTGGTGCTGAGTCCATAGCATCTGT